TTTCCAATGATGAATGTCATTATATTGTATATCTTAAATGTACCAATAAAATTAATTTTAAAATTCTATGAAAAATTATTTCTTTGCTGGTTCAAAGTGCTTCAAAATCATAAATAACATTGAGGACTTTGTTCATTTTAAGCATCAAAATAATTTAGGTAAAAGCATGAAAACAAAATAAGTACCTTAACAAGGAAAATTTTAGATTTCTTCAAGCCAAATAATTACTCCTTAAACAGAATCCTCTGGAATGCAGTATAATTCATCGAACAATCTTAAAAATAAGTATCACATTTTTCAACAAGTATATATTTTTAAAAAGCAATTTTTGGGGTGAGGATAAAGCTCAGTGGTAGACCACCTAGTTAGCGTGTATGAGCCCCTGGGTTCACATGGAAGCAACATACACACACACACACACACACACACACGCGCGCGCGCGTAACATTTTAAGGAAACAACTATTTTCCTTAGATAACAAACTATCCTACTCTAAAGGCTATGTCATCTGAGGTTCCTGGAAAACTTTCAAAACCTTTCTCTCAGAACATACCACAATAAAAATGATTCCTTTTGCCTGTAGTGGCATTTCCATTCTAGATGACAGTATCAGAACAAAATCTAAAGCAAAAAATCCGTTCTGAATTTCGAAAATCTTTTCATAAAACATTTTAATATAAATTAACAATTAATTTTGAATACATCTCAGATAAAAGTTCCAGGTTATATTTTCATTAAATTCAAAAGCTTTATTTTAGAAGTTTCAACTTTAAAACTAACATTAGACACTATTAAAGATTTTATATTATGTACAAGAAATATTAATAAGGCACATTTAATCTAAATATCCAAGTAAGATATATCTTAGTCATAGTATCTCAGGGAAGGTGGTAGGACAGGTACACCTCTATCCCAACCAAAAGTCTGGAGCTTGCATAGGTAGGGACAGTGGGAAATTTGATTAAGTCACCCAAAGAACAATACTGATAATGACACCTTAATAAAAAAACTGGAGAAAGTTATCTCACAAATAACCCTGACATGGTGTAAAAAGTTTTTAAAGAAAAACTATATGCTGTAGTTCTCATTAAGTTTTTGTTTTTTTATTTTTTTGAGACAGGGTTTCTCTACGTAGCCCAGGGTGGTCTCGAACTCACAGCAATCCTCCTCTCTCAGCCTCCTAAGCGCTGGGACTGCAGGCATGTGCCACCACAACTGGCTTAAATAAGATCTTTAGCTATTTAAACATTACCAATTTCAGCCGGGGATTTAGCTCAGTGGTTCCGGCACCTGCCTCGAAACCACAAGGTCCTGAGTTTGATCCCCGGTACCAAAAATAAATAAATAAATAAACACTACCAGTTCCTTAACTATGCAAACAATCTGCCTTAGATAAATAAAAAGAAAAGCAAGGTGCTAAACCCAGCTATGCGTTTTCAGTTTAGGAAGCTAGGATACACACCGGTCCTTCCAGCTCTAAAATGTTATGTATTAAACTAATGAAAATAGCCCAAGTGCTTTTACAGCTTCTAGGTCACTCACTAGTTTCTACCATGCAAAAATGTCATTTTAGAAAGTCCTGATCATCATGTTTACAAAAACAGAGCATCACGGTGCATGCCTGTAATCCCAGCACTCAGGAGGCTGAAGCAGGATTGTCACTTGTTCATGGCCAGCCTGGCCTACATAGTGGGCTTAGAAAATTCTGATAAATGAAATGTACCAGAAAGGATTCAAAACTAGTCCATTCCCAACTTTTAATTTATGAATTAGGATTTACGCCCAACAGAGAGACAATGAATGTACAAAATAAGCTTGCCTACAGCACTTGTACTTTATTCCCAAGGGAAAGTTGGTTAGTTCACTTGCAGGCTACAGAAAAGGCTCAGATTTCCAGGTGGACCTCTGAGAAATCTTTTATTTCAAGTATTTACTGAGCATATTTCCCAGTGCTTAAACATCTTCACTTCATTTTTGTTTCATCTTCACTTTAAATACTTCTTATAATCAATGGCATGTCATGGCTTGTCATTTTTCCCCGCTTAGGAGTATATACAGTAATCACAGACTTGATTAAATATGTCAATTCCCTAGATTACATCCCTTGAAAATGCTTCCAATTGCATCTACTGTAGTTTTTCACGATAAGTATTATGCTAAAGAGCATAAAAGACCTTGAAATAAAGTTAATTCACCTTAGGCTCAAATGTATCAAACTGATCAAGAGTCTCTTTAAAACTCCAAGTCGAGTAAAATAAATACCAGTTAGGGAGAAAAAAAACTGGAAAGTGAATCTTGGACTTTCTGATGTCACTACATTTTGTGAAAATACTCTTTTTCAAATGCACTGTGCATTTTTCAAAGCACGTAAATTAGGTTGTTCTTCTAATACCACACTTGATTCACCCACCAGGATAAACATGAATCTTTTCAGTAACCTGTGAGATTTAAAATTAGCGAAGATAAATGCTTCACAAGTCTAGTAGTAGTACGCAGAAAAGAGTCGTACAGAAGTTACATTCGTTTCTGAGGTCAGAGACTAAGGTCTGCATGTCTTGCTCGACTTTACAAGGCAAGAGCCCCAGCTAATAGTCTGAGCATCACACGTGCTTCCGTTTGAGTGTATCTGCTATCTCTAACAATCTACACTATAATCTTTACTCATTTGTTCAACAAACAATTCTTGAATGAATACCTGGTACTAAGCAACTGCTCATAGAGAGTACCACTAAGATGTGACACTTGCGCGTCACTTTTCTGAGTATTAAAATTCTACCTGAATAAACCACTCGTCCTACCTGATGCAGAACACCGATCTCCACCAGGAGTGTAGAACTCTACACACCGGAACAAAATGTAACCAAGTCGCTTCCTAAAGCTGGGCCAGACAAGAGTACACGAGGCATCCCTTACTCAAGACAATCGCAACTCACAACTGTGCACTTTTCCCACAAAATCGACTTCGTGAGACTCTAAAAGAACTACAGCCCAATGAGAGTTTTAATACAGACACGAAAGCGAAGGTGCCCCGTTCTGCAGCGGGACGGAAGACGCAGCGTCTGAAGGAAAACGCGAGGCGACGGCGAGGAGAAGCGCTAGGCAGGCCCACGCTCCGCACGTCCCGGCCGCCAACTTCCGCGGCCCTAGGGCCTGCCCAGCCCTCTGCGTGTAGCAGCCGCTCGCGCCTGGGACCCAAAGGCGGGGAAGCGGTCCCGCCAAGCGCGCGAGTGAGGAGCACGCTGGACGGGAGCGGAGCGTGGACGCTCGCCTGCTGCCCCCCCGAGGACGGGGAGGGGGCGACCGTGGGGCCGCCGTCCTGGACGCGAGCCCGACCAGGATGGGGGGGGCGGGGGGCGGAAGAGGGCGGCCACCTGGTCTCGCCTAGGAGTCCGCGGCCAGTGCAGGGGGACGGAGAGGGCCTCCCCGAGGACAGGCGGGAAACGCGGTGGCGGGAAGGCGCGAGGGCGGCCCAGCGCTCGAGGCCCCGACCCTGCGCCGCCTCCAGCTGGCCTGGCGACCCCCGCTACAGGCCCAGCCTCGCGGGGGACTGCAGGGGGAGGGCGCCCCACCTGTGTTTGCGCTCGGAAGGCGCTGCGCCCCACGGACGCGCGGAGGAGGCGGAGGCCGGTGGCGCGGCTGCGGGGAGCTGACGCCCGCTCCGACACCCCGACTGCGACACGCACACAAAATCAACAAAGCCCCGCCGCTCCCGAGGAGAGACGCCACAGGCCCGGCCGGGGACGATCGGGGGCGGCGCGAACGGGCCAGGAAGGAGGCGGAAAGGGACCCCGCCGCGGCTCTGTGGCCTCGTTCCACCCGGGCAGCGGGAAGACGGGGCCCCCAAGCCAGACTGACCTTGGAGTCTCCGTTGCACAGAGCCATCGGGGCTGGGGCCGCGACCCGGCAAGAGTACGAGACGGGGCAGGAGCGTCCCAGAAGGGTCCGGGCTGCGGGCCGAGGTCGAGAGGGAGGCCTGGTCGAGGAGCAGCCGGGAGCGGAGAAGACTCGGCTGCCCGCAGAGCGCGGAACAGAGCAGCACCCTCAGAGCGAGGGCCCCTGCGCCGCGGGAGAGAAGACCAGCAGCGCGCACGCTACCCCCGCCTCCTGCTTCCGCCCCGGCCAACCACTGGGAGGAGCCAGAGCCCGTTCGGCTTCTCCCGCTGCCGCCGCCAAACCCGCGGCTCTTGGGCTAGGGACCCCCGTCAGGCCCCGCCCCCGCCAGGCCCCGCCCCCGGGGAAGAAGCCGCGGCCCTGTGGGCCCGGCCCTGTGGGCCCGCCCCTGAAGGAGGGGCCTGCGTCTTCCCCGCCCCCAAGCCGGAAGCCCGCCCTGAGGGACCGGCCCGGTCCGCCCTCAACCAGAAGCTCGCTCTGGAAGGAGGGGCCGGCCCCCGGCCCCGCCCCGAGCCCGAGACCGCCCCGCCCACTCACGAGACCGCCCACAGACAAACCCAAGTGCGAGCCCACCGTCCCCGGCCGGCGGTCTGCGGTCTTTGGCGGTTGTGGAGGATTGGCGGCTTTCGCGAGGCCTCCCGCGCACTACGCCTCTCGGTAATTCTTACCGCTGGCGCGTCCTTATCTCCAGTTTCCTGATGTGGAGAGGCCCGGGCTGCTTTCTGCTTTGAAAAAGTTTCATGGCCTCAGCTCAAGGGACGTCAGTGTGGGATTTGATCTTTTTAGGTGCAGCAAAAGTTCTACAGCGTGTGCAGTACTTCCAGAGAGAAGAGAGGATGGGAGCAGCAATGTGAGAGGCAGGTGAGCCAGGGGACTTGGTCCTGAAGCTGTGCTTCTGTAGAACCCTTTGGAGGAAGCAACTGCAGTCCCTCCAGCTACCCCTTGGCGCCTGTCAAGACAGCCTGGTGTAGTGACAAACACCTAAAATCCTAGCTAGCAGTCTGGTAGGGTGAGGCAGAAAGATTGCAAATTCGACCCTGGCTTGGGCAATTTAGTGACTTAGGGAGACACTGTCCCGAAATAAAAACTTTTAGAAGAGCTGGAGATGTAGCTCAGGGCAAAACATGACACGTATTAATTGAATCTTGAATTTGATTACTTGGGGTCTAAATAGTTGGGGAATAATAATGACGCTTAGCTTGGAACACTTCCCCTTTTAACAAATACTCAGCTATTCTAATGCAGACGACATTTGCTGTGTCAGGCTCTAGTTCAGATATCAAGGATCCAGAATGAGCCAATCCTGACTTCCAAAACTCGCCTTATTCTAACCGATCCCATGAGAGGAGTGAGGATTGATGTTTTTATCCACCTTTTACAAATGAGAAAATTTAGGCTCAGTGAATTAATGTGCTACAATATAGTTTTGGTTTTGGTTTTTTGGCAGGGTCAAGGTTTGAACCTAGTTAGTACTGAACTACATCACGAGTCCCGTTTTTATGTTTTCATAACTCTAAGTTGCCCAGACTGAGCTGGAACTTGCAATACACCTGCCTCAGCCTCTTAGAAAGCTGAGGTTATAGGCAAGAGTCACAGTGCCTGGCTTCACTATAGAATTTAAAGCCTTCCCAATCTGGGGAAGGTTAAGCAATTTGTTAGTAAAATATTTACCAGAACAAAAAGCTCAAAACCCTAGTGGGCTTTGGACTCTGAATACTTTCCTTACCTTTCTTTGAACTGAAAAATGCATGTTTGAACTTTCTAAAGCCATGGATACTGGCTCATCTTGGTAGGTCTGTCTGAACAATCCAGAGAATAGTGAAGTAACCAATAGGAGAGCCTGAACTTGCATACACATCCATTCCTAATGAAATAAAATGTGTTGTGATGTATCGGCATCAAGGATTGGCTAAATTTCGACTATACTACAGAATAGCTAGCTTAAATATGTTCTAGTGGTCATTTGTGTTTATGATTAAGAATTTTAGCATGTACTAGGATCCTTACAGGTTGGGGAAATGTAGCTCAGCGTTGGAGTATTTGCCTAGTATGTGCAAGGCCCTGGGTTCAATCCGCAGCAGTACTGGGAAAAAAATGTAGCTTAAGAGCCTTGTATTGAAGTCTTCAACTTCTGACTCTATTGACCCCTTCCCCTATCTTGAAAGTGTATTTCCCTACATCTCTGCTGTATAGTGGCATCTTTTTATCTCTACGGCTTTTGATTGCCTTTTCTTGCTCTTTACATATCTATCATTCCTAGTTTTCAATGTTAGGTTTCTCCAGTGTTTGCATTCCTAACCGTTTTCTCATTTTTACTTTCTACTTATGTTTCCCTTATGCACTTGTTAAAAAATATATACTTAAAGCCAGATGTGGTGGTGTATGCCTGTAATCCTAGCACTCAGAAGGCTGAGGCAGGAGGATCACTGCAAGTTCACAGGGCCAGCTTGGGCTGCATAGTGAGTTCAAGTCCTCAAGCCTGAACTGTGTAGTAAGACCCTGCCTCAAAAAAAAAGTATAGGGCCAGGGATTTAGCTCAGTGGTTCCGGCACCTGCCGCGCAAGTGCAAGGTCCCAAGTTCAATCCCCGGTACCAAAAAAAAGTATATATATGGTTTTAAAAATACCCTAGCCAGGTGTGGTGCTGCACACCTATAATGCCAGCCCTCCAGAAGCTGAGGCGGGGCATCACCTTGAGTTCAAGGCCAGGCTGGGCTACACAGTGAGTTCAAGGCCAGCCTGAATTACATATAGAGACTTTGTCTCAAAAAAACAAAGAACAAACAAAAATACTCCTAAGAGGCTCTATATCCTGACTATCCTGACATCTCTTTTCTGAGCTCCAGATCCATATAACTGTTTATATCCCCAGAAAGATATCCAATGCCATGTTGTTACCCCAAACTGAGTCCTTCTTCCCTCTCAGAATTGTGGAACCAACAAGATCCAACACCAACTGAGCATTAGAGGAGGCTTTTCTTCTTGGCCAACAGTAGGGGAGATGAACGCACAAATCAACTTCTCAGCACATTAGGATGTGGAGGTTATAATTATAGTTTAAAAGAAATGGGGGGTAGGAGGATAGGCTCAGATTGGAGGAATATTCATGGGTTTTCTGGGAATGAGAACATATTTTATGGGAAACCTGGTTCTACCTTTTTCTGTTCTGTTGTTTCTTCTGGTCATTGTTATGCAGTTTGTCAACTGTTTTGACACTAGTGTGGCAGTTAGCATGCAGATGAATTATAATGGAGTTAGAGGTTGTCTGGCAGTCATTCTGGCAGCCATCTTAGATCCACCCAGTTTTAGCCAGCCCACCTGAACAGCAGCCTATGTTCTACAGGCTTCCTGTCCTCAAATGAACAAGATCAGGGTGAAATAGAAATTCTGCTAGGTCAAATAGTGCAAGATTAGGGCAATGTAACGATGTTGGGCCCAAAACTCAATAAATCCTAACAAAACTTCTCTCTTAATTTTTTGTGCCCAGTCTCATTGGCACCATGATATTATGTGGAAAACATTTAGTTTTCACTAACAAGTTACAGATTTCTCAAAGACAATAAAATTTTAAGAATGAATTTCCAATAGAAACCCTTTAGCAGGTTCAGGAAGTTCCTTTCTATCCCTATCTTGCTGCGAGTTTTTAATCAATAATAGATGTTGTCCAGTCCTTTTGTTTTTTATGGCTCTTGAGATGACTATATAGGTTTTCTTCATTAAGTTTGTTAACATGACGAATTACACTGATCTTTGACTGTTAGGCCAGTCCTGCAGTCTTGGGATAAACTTCAAGAAAACATGGAGTGTTTTCCTTTTTTTCTTTTGCTAAAATTCAATTAACTAAAAGTTTGGTTTTTAATTTTTGCAACTGTGTTCAAGAGGAATGTTTTAGTTTTCTTGTAGTGTCTTTCCCTGATTTTAGTATCAGGCTAATGCTGCCCTCAAATAACAAATTGAGAGTTTGTATAGTTAGGTTGTTATTTCTAAAAGAACTGATTTTGGGGCTGGAGATTTAGCTCAGTGGTTCTGCCTCCTGCCTTGCAAGCAAAAAGACCGGAGTTCGATCCCCGGTACCAAAAATAAATAAAAGAATTGATTTGTAATTCCCTCTTAAAAGTTTAGTAGAATTCACCAATGAAGCCATCAAGGCCTAGAGTTTTCTTTATGATAAGGTTTTTAACTATAAATTTTAGTTTTTAAAATGGACATGGAATGGCCGGGGATTTAGCTCAGTGGTTCCGCTGCCTGCTTCGCAAGCTCAAGGATCTGAGTTCGATCCCCGGTACCAAAAAAAAAAAAAGATAAACGTGAACATGGGGGGTGCAGGTGGTACTGAGAAGCAATCGGATTCTGGTTTCGTTTTTTTTCTTTTCTTTTCTTTTTCTTTGGTACCGGGGCTCAAACTCGGGTCCTTGCGCTTGCGCAGCAGGCGACGAAACCACTGAGCTAAATCTCTGGCCCTAGTTTTTTTCTAATCTGTTGAAATGGAATATATTTTTGTGCCAAATGAATGTTAATTGTGGCTTGCATCATGGGCATGCACAGGCCCAAATCTTCAGTAAAGCTATCAATCAATCAATCTATGGACATGGGGGCTGGAAATACGGCTTAGTGGTAGAGCGCTTGCCTAGAATTTGTGAGGCCCTGGGTTTAATCTCTAGCACCAGAATAGAAAAAAAGGACATGGGGCTATTTGTGTTACATGTCTTTCTTGAGTGAGCTTTGGGAATATGTCTTTGAAAGAATTTGTTTGTTTCACTTAAGATGTTAAATTCAGGGCCGGGGATTTAGCTCAGTGGTTCCGGCGACTGCCTCACAAGAGCAAGGTCCGGAGTTTGATCCCCAGTACCAAAAAAAAGAAAACACTTTATTTGGCTGGGGATGTAGCTCAGTGGTTCTGCCGCCTGCTGCCTGCCTCACAAGCACAAGGACCGAGTTCGATCCCCGGAACCAAAAAAAAAAAAAAGTTAAATTCATAGGCATAAGGTTGTTCGTAATATTCTGTTATGATTTAGAAAATATTAGTGCTTTTTAATTTTACAAAATATTGAATTTCAATATATATACATATAACATTTTTATCATATCCATCCTCCCTATTACCCCCTGCTCTCACCTTTATTCACTTGGACTTCTCTGATAATAGTCTCTGTTCTATTTTTTTGCCATAATTTCCCTCTATGTACTGCTTTAGCAACACCCCATAGATTCTGATATATTGTCTTTTCATTTTCAGTTCAAACTAATGTCTGAGTTACCTTTTGATTTCTTCTTTCCAGGGTTACCTAGAAGCATGGTATGTATGTATGTATTTACGTATTTAATTTTCTCTTTTTTCCATATTTCTTATCTCTCCACATATCTCTCTTCTCTCTGAATCTTTCTCCTGGATTATCTCCCCAGTAGCTTCGGAGTCCAGAGTGCTAACCATTACACGATGGAACCCGCCCCCAGTAGCTTCAATAAATTGTTGAAAGACAGTGGCTCAGATTCATACTAAATTGGCCTCAACTCGAATAGGTGCTGGCATGGGCTCACTTGACTGATAGGTCACACTTTGCAAAGTTTGTGAACACTTTTGGGTATTTTCAACTCTGTAATCCCCTTATAAAGACATAGTAATACAATCTGTTTCCCCACATGCTGCTCCAAAAATTCTTTCATAAATTATGTTAAATTACCTATTTGTTTGTTTGGTAACTCTTTAGGGCAGTCTTTTTATTTTATCCTTAGTATCTGGCAAATGCTTTAAAAAAATAATTACTAGGTTAGGATCTATGTTGTCTTTCAGAGGGAGAAACTGAGAATTTGGCTAGGGCTTCACAGCTAATGAAGACCATAGGCATTCTAACTTCCCACCCAAACTGAGATTGTACACTTCCGGTCCAGGCCACTTAGGCAGTAGAGGTGCCCCGGGGAAATGAGCAAAGGAGGAGTAGGATAATTTGGAGGATCAGCCCTCAGACCCCAAAACAGATGGCCACCACCTCATGTTCCCTATCCGGACTTTTCATCTTTAGGACTTTGGGGGGATAATTTTCCCTTCCTTGGTCCTAAAGCCTCCTCTGAGTGGAGTCTAGAAATCTTTCCATGAGCCACACTTCGATGTAGTCTATGCAGGCAGGATAAGTTAGGATTTGGGCTGTTTTACACAGAACAAAGGGAAAGGAGAGAAAGGACAAGGAAGGGTCCAGAGCATATCGCAGTTTTACTTCACCATTTTGTAGGTTTTATTCTCAAACATCAAAATGTACCAAGTTACAAAAAGGTTGGTGGTGATCAGGCTGGCAGTCAGAGAAATGTAGAGAGTCTCATTGGTACGTCTGTACCTAGCACAGTGCTGTTACTTTATATTTATGCATGTATGTATGTGCATTAATTTTGAAGACAGGATCTCTGCTATGTAGTTTAGGCTGACCTTGAACTCATGACAATTTTCCTCCCTCAGCCTCCTGAGTGCTGGGATTACATGCATGCACTACCATACCCAGCTTGCTTTACTTTTAAAAGGTAGTTTTAAATGAGGGAGAGACAGGAGGATCACAAGTTCTAGCTCAACCTGGGCAATTTAGCAAGATCTTGTCTTAAAAAATATTGCTAGTCATGGTGATGCATGCCTGTAATTCCAGTGCTCTGGGAGGCAGAGGCAGAAGAATTGCAAGTTTGAGCTTAATCTGGGCAATCTAGTAAGACCCAATCCATTGTAAGACCCAGTTATGCTGTTGTGTGAAATGTTCTGTAAATCTCATGTAGATCAAGTTAGTTGATAGTGTTGTCCAAGACTAGTCTTGCTGATTTTACTTCTCACTTGTTCTGTTCTACTAATTATTAAGAGAGGGGATTTTGAAACTATTAAGAGAGATGAATTTGAAAAAAAAAAATTTTCATGGGTTGGGGATATAGCTCAGTGTAAAAGCACTGGGTTCAATCCACAGTACCACACAAAGAAAAGTAATTTTTTGGTTTCTGAGACTGTCTCATCTTTTAAAATACATTGATAAGACCCACAAAGAGAAGCTTTACATAGCTTTTCAGGTTTGTGTCGTGTCAAGCCAGGAATAGTGACACACAATCATAATCCCAGCACTTGAAGAGATGAGGCAGAATTCAAGGCCAGCATGGAATGCATAGTGGGACCCTGTCTCCTCAAAAATGTATTGAATTGGGCGGGGGATTTAGCTCAATGGATCTGCTGTCTGCCTCCCAGCCAAAAAGTCCCAAGTTCAATCCCCGGTACACCCCCCAAAAATGTATTAGGTCATAAAATATTTTCTTCAGATATAGCTCATGGTCTTCCTATTTCATCTTTCAAAATGTTTACTGCAATTCTTATTAACCAAAAAAACCTTTAAACTTACAAAAGTATTAGATGTCAACTTAAAATGTGGAAAGGAAGCACACAGTTTTTCAGAATTCCTTTAGGGTGGTATGTAAGTTTTTTGTTTGTTTGTTTGGTACCAGGGATTGAACTCGGGTCCTTGCGCTTGCGCAGCAGGCAGCGAAACCACTGAGCTAAATCCCCGGCCCTAATTGAACATAACTTCTACAATACAAATTTGATCATGTATCCTTTGCTAAGAGTCTTTTTAATGACTTCCCATTTCTCCTAGGATGTACTCAAACTTCTGATACTGCTTACTAGATTTTTAGAAATTTGGCTATCCCCTGTTTACCTTGCAGCCTCCTCTCTTACTACTGCCCTCAGTTCACTCTCTAGTTGTATTAAACTGCTTCCTTCCTTAAACATGACATGTTCTTTCTTGACTCAGACCTTTTGCACATAAATATCTTCTATTTGGAATATTTCTGTTTCCATTCCCACAACTATGTTTCTTTGCTGTTGTGTGTTTGTTTGTTTGTGACAGCATCTCACTATGTAGTTCAGGCTGGTAGCCCAGGCTGGCCTTGAATTCACAGCAATCCTCCTGCCTCAGCCTTCCAAGTGCTGGAATTACAGGTGGGCACCACCACGCCTGGCAGCCCATTCCCACAACCCTGAAGTCGTAGGTTAGATGTCTTTTTATCTTTCATTGTTTCATAATCCTTTCCCCTTTATTATTCACTGCCTTCTGCTGTATTTTTGTCTTTACCTGTCTCTGTCCATAGAGAGGCCCTAGAAGCAGTACTGTGTCATCTCCATAGCAAATCTAGCACCCAGATACTGGTTTCTAAATACCATTTTCCAATAGAAAAAACCAGAGCTTGGGCCGGGGATTTAGCTCAGTGGTTTCGCCACCTTCTGCACAAGCGCAAGGACCCGAGTTCAATCCCCGGTTCAAAAAGAAAAACCAGAGCTTCTTGGAAAAATGGCTGATTTCAGGATGAGGGCAGCAACAGGTGACTGGGAAGATTTTTTTGTACCAGAAACTAAGGAAGTCCTCAAAGAATGATAGGGAAGGGCTCGGTGTGTAGCTCAGTGGCACCACACCTGCCTAGCAAATGAAATGTCCTGAGTTTGATCTCTGGTACTGAAAAAAAATTTTTTTAATTTAAAAATAAAAATCAGACAGAGAATGATAGGGACATGTCAGAAGGATACAGAAGCCAGTTAGAAAGAGATTTTACTGGCCAAATCTGAGACGATATATCAAAATAAACAGTAATAGTAAACATAGCCACTGAATCAAGTGGGAATTCATAAGCCTATACCCATATAAATAAATAAGTGATTAAAAGAAGAGAAAATTTTCTTTTGTAATGGAATGGTAATAAAGCCAAAAAGAATAATGGAATTAGAGACTCATTATTTTGCAACCATCATAAAAATAATAAATCCAGGCAAGAAACATCAGTGGAAGATAAAATCCGTGGGTTTGAGGTGGATGAGGAACAGGTTGTATTTACATTGTCTCAGAGTGTTTCCCATAAAAACAATTACCAATTACACAAGGAGAAAGAGTAATTGTACAGTAGAGGCACTTGAAGATACCTCTTTACTCAAATCAAACTTAACATCACCAGTAGGGGGATCAACCAACATCATGTGTCACCTAGAGCAAGACGAGCACAAGGTTACTTTAGTGGCAGTCTGCCTAAAATGCATTAACTTGAATCTTAATCATGAGTGAACATCTGACAGACCCAAAAGGAGACACATTCCACAAATAATTGGCCTGTCATTTTTCCAGTTATCTATTGCTATGTAACAAACACTCCTAAACCAGGTGGCTTAAGACAACAAAACTATTTGCTGCAATTTGGACAGAGTTCAGCAGAGGCAGCTTTTCTCTGCCCTGTTGCATCAGCTGGTACAGTCCAAAGCCCAGCTCCACTAGCCTCTCAGAGTACCTCAAAAGGCTAGGAGCAGGAATCATTCTAAAAGGTTTTTCACATATAACAGATGGACTGGAACAGCTATGTGACCTCCATGTGGCCTCTGCTTCACAGCTGCTTTAGAGTAACCGAATGTCTTTATATGTCAGCTCAGGACTCCCCAGCAGTATATGTGTGTAAGAGAGTGCACACCAGGTAGAAGCTTTTCTAGTCTAGTTTAGAAGTCACACAGATTCACTTCCCTGCCTTCTGTATACTGAATGAATCACAAGCAAATGTGAGATTCAGAGGGAGGGTTCTAGAAGAACAGGTGGAATGGAAATGGAAATGTGATGCAATCCTTGGAAAATAGCCACAGTAATGTTTAAAATATGAAGGTTAAACCAGGAGTGGTGGTCCACACCTATAATCCCAGCACTCAGGAGGCTGAGGCAGGAGGATCACCATAAATTGCAGGCCAGCCTGGGCTACATAATGAGTTCAAGGCCAATCTGAACTGCATAGCCAGACCCTGTCTCAGAAAAAACAAAAACACCAACCAAAAAAAAGTAGAGGTTAGGCTAGGCATGTAATTTAATGGTAGAGCACCTACCTAGCATGTGTGAAGGCCTGTGCTCAAATCCCCACTACAAATAATAATAATAATAATAGTAATAGTAATAATAATAATGACGAAGGTCAAGGCAGGAACTTTTCAGATTGAATGAGACAGGAGACATGACAGTTGAGGGAAATACATGGTCCTAGATTGTAGACCTTTATTATTATTACTATTGTTGTTGTTGTTGTTATTATTATTATTATTATTATTTTGCAGTACTGAGAAACCGAGGGCCTTTGCACTGAGCTACATCCCCCAGCACTTTATTATTTTTGAGACAGGGTCTCAGTAAATTATTCAGTTGCCAGCCTGGGCTTGAATTTGCAGTTCTCCTGCCTCACCTTCCTAGAATGCTGGGATTATATGAGTGCACCACCAGGCCTGGCAATTCCCTTCCTTTTAAAGGTGGAATTATCTTCTATTTTATAAATACATATATATCACATTTTGTATATCCATTCATCAGTCAGTGAACATTTGGGTTGCTTCTGTATCATTGTGAATAGTATTGCTCTTGAGGTGTTCAAATATTAAAAACAAGAAATATAAGAATTACACATGAGAATTTATAAAATAGTTTATTGCAAATGTGAAGAAAATGAAGCTGTCCAGGTTTTGAAATTTAGAATGCATTTTTTTTTTTTTGAGACAGGGTCTCATCATGCAATTCAGGCAGCCTTGAACTCACTATGTAATACAGGCTGGCCTCAAACTCATGGGGGTCCTCCTGTCTCAACTTCCCAAGTCTATTGTTGTACAAGTAATGATAACCCTTTTTTTTTTTTCAGTAATGGGGATTAAACTGAGTGCCTGGCCCACACTACACAAGCTCTCTACCACTGAGTTACACTCCTAGCCCTTAATGATAACACTTTATATAGAAATTTTAAATGTAGGAAATTAAGCTGTTTTCAATATGTTAAAATCATGCAACTTCATATAATGGTCATAAATTTAGTATTCTGTCAATAGGCATAATATACAAAGGGTGATCAAAAATATGCCAAGTGTTTAAATTTTTTTAAAAATGTATTACAGTAAAAGACATTGCCAAGAAGGATGGGATGCATTTGAAATGGGCAGGGGGGAATATTTCAAGAGGCATTAAGGGCAGTGTGTCTTTTACTGTAATAAATTATTTAAATTTAAACACAGTGTTTCTGGATCATACCTTGTACAAGTATAGGACTCAACTTATAACCAAATAGCTTGTTTTTAAACATGAATCTTCCTAGTAGTGCTCACAGAGGCTTAATTTAATCAAGATACCAAAAGTTTGAGATGGCTAGAAAA